CTCGAGGACCATGGATGCTGTTCCATCGCTGCACACATCGGTGGTGTTGGGCGTCGTGAGGTCAGGACTCATATATTCCTCCATTCCTACGGAATTATTCGTGCCGCCGTAATCCGAGCAGCTCCTCGCCGCAAAATCGCAGAATATCGCATTGAAAGCCTCCTCTTCCGTTACATATTGACCATCCGGCTTCTTACCAGTACGACACGCAGTCCAGTTGCTCTCGCCGAATAGGCGCCAGTGCACACCGGAATCCTTGCTCCCACACGCACCATACAACCATCGCCATCTCTCTTCGCGTACACGTGCGAGCAGAAGCAGCAGTAGAGTTGCTGAGTTCGGCGAGCAGATCCGCACACCAAGTGGAGAATAGAAGGGCAAAAGGGAAATAAAAAGAGGTGCAGCAAAAAGACACACACATCGTCGCAGCGTCGCCGTTGCGTGCGCGGTAATGATGCGACCTCCCGCGGCAGGCACAACTCGCACACTGCACGCACCGCAAAACGGCATCCACACAAGAAACACGCACACACAACGACAGAACAGCCACCATAAAATAGAAGGAGGAGAGAACCACAACCATCTCCCCACACTTGCGCAACAAACGGCCCTCCCTTTCTATGCGAGACATTTGCCGCAAGCCTGCCATCGTTCCGCTGCACGCTCTCAGCGCCCACAGTGGGAGTCAGCACAGCGCACAAGTGAGAAACAAAACGCATCTCACCCCCGTCGGGAGAAATAAAAACACCGCAACGGCAACAACAACGGTGCAAGGGTGTCGCATCGGATGGTACGATGGCGTTGTTGGCGTCCAGACCAATGACGCGTACCCTCTAAAATACGCGTGGAAGATACCGCACGTACGACTGCAGGGTTGCGTCCGCAGATAAACGGCATTCGGAGCCAAGTCTGCCTCTCGGTGGCAAAGATGGGTCAGGAATGTCGTCGGAGAGGCACCACGGCAGACGGCAGGGTAGAGCAAGGCACCGCACAAGGGACACAAATATTTGCCTGCCTCGTCCCTGGAGAAGCACAACCAACTTGGTCGGGGTTATCTCGCCCTCTGGCGATGGCAAATTTTTAAAGAGTCTCACGGTATTGGGGAGACTCGGCAATGCCCCAACGTGCTTGCCGCGATTCCACAAAAATGTGGACGGTCTGCATTTGTCCATGCACGTCACAGCCGATAGGCGCATCATCGGGGATACGGTTTGAGTGCGCACAACGACGGTTACTTGCCTCATGCCACATCACGGGCAGGCCGTCCCTCATCATTCCCTGCAGGATTCGCCTACGCTCCTCCAAGGAGTACTGGGGGCGTCCGTTGTGCTGCACGCGGATCGCATCATCTTCCATAACAACTCCATCCACTAAAAGACCGCGGCTAAACAGCCCGTCCACAACAATCCTCAAAGGACCGCCACCCACCGCGTGCTGAGGTGGAAAACGCACGCGATGAATACGTCTCCGGTAGGTTTCATCGCAAATACACAACCGCTATTCCCTCCGTCACTGTGTTGTCATCACCGCAGCAGCAACGCACCAGTGCAGGCCATGTTGGGCATGATGGGAGAGAAAGTCCCATTCTCCAAGCCATGATGTCATCAAGAGAGTCAGACGGCTGCTCTGCCACGGTGATAACGTGTCCCATCAGGCGCAACATGATATCAGCGTCCAGCAGATTGGAAGGCGCGGTTGTCACCCCGCCAATAAGAGAAATGCGCGCCACCACACGAGGCTCCGCTGGCACTCCCGCCTCCATATTGTGTTCCCTCAGTAACGGACTCTGCGTCAGCACCGTCGCCACGCTGGTAGGTCTGGATGTGTCTACAGCACGGCACGCGTTGCTGCCACCGCCCGCTCCTCCCCTGTTTGCTCACCACCCATCGTCATGCGGCAGCAGCGAGTGAGGCAAACCTTGATTGGTTCCGCCTGCAAGTCCCTCGGCATCTGCTCAATCCACCGCCATGGAAAAACGGCGATGCGCAGCGGCGGAGCATTTGATCGTTTCAGCAAACAAATTGGAGAAAAAGGACTCAACCACACACACAAGACTCCCAGCAGGAAAAGGTACAAACGGCGTGGATAACACAACTCAAAGTAACGCTTCCAACACAAAGCGTGAATGACTCCGCCGACGCCACACCCGCACCGCATGCCGTCAACTCCTCCACGGAAAAAACAAACTGGCAAGAGGGAAAAGAAATAAAAACGCTTCGAGAGAGCAAAAAACACCACTGCAGCACCGCATCGCTCACAACGTCGTCAATCGGCCCGAGGCATGTCGTCTCGAATACACCTGGCGTACACCGTTCTCCCGGCATGTTTGTTGAAAGGCGGTCATCCACCAGCCGCGATCCGTCGGTCACACGAGGAGTGCAGGCAACAGGCATGTCTGTCGCACCCTCCATCGTCCTCACAAAGCGTCAAATTGTCGTTGGCAGGAGTAATGTTGTTTCTGCTCCACGCGTCTCCATCCCCTGGGAGAAGAGACACGCCGACTGCTGCCACCAGTTCCTCCCCCGTCGCCTCCCTTCCTCCACAAGTCTATAATATTCCGCAGAGTTGCTCATGGCAGTGTCTCCACTATCCCGCACGTGAAACAAATTAAACTTCTTCTCCCTGAGACCCAAAGCGACCAACGCAAAAGCGAGCCGAGCATCCAACGGCTGCACTGGCCCAACCACAAAAAGCCGCACCAAGTACACAATGGCAGGATCACGACGGCGACACTGCAGAAAAATAGGGTCCACTGCGGAGATTAGTTTGTGCTGCACACGGTTGCGGTGTCGCCGGACTTATCGCATCGCCAAAAAAAAAAAACAATAATCCTGCAGCGTGCGGGGAGGACGTTTCACAAGCGCATCATCGACGGAGCCAAACAACTGTACCGTCAGCAGAGGGCAGCGGGTGACGGGGGAAAGTGAGGGTGGTGGAACTGTTGGGGAGGGTCGATGCGCAGTGTCCCCCACAAATACGAGGCGGATGAGGCGAAACACACTCGCCTGAACGTCACCGGCCACCAAAGTGCATGGCTCCCTGCCGGGAATATTGATGAGCTCGAGCCTGGAGCAGCTACTCGCAGTGCGTGAAAGCGTCTTCCTGCACTGACGCTGCGATTCACATTAGACGGGCAACTTCAGCACAGTCGATCCCCAGCAGTAAAATGCAGCTGGCAGTGGCGCTGCGGATTATCGATTTTCCCCGGGCAACGGAGGGCGGAGAAGAAAACTGGTCTCCCCAGCTGCGCGGCATCCATCCATCCACTCTGTGCGCTCGGAGTGCCCCGCAGCTGCCATGAGAGATGCAGCGGACAGACCTCCGTTAGTTTCGCCTCGATCCGTCGACGAATACTTTCGCGGAGGCGTCGGCACACACCGAAGTCTCCCTCGTGCCCGCCAAACAAAAGACACACCCGTTGAGCATCGTCACGTGCATCAACGGCCACGCAAGTAAATATCCACCGCAACGCAAAGTGCTTCTTATTGGGCACCAAAAGAAACCTGGAGGCGGCGGCCTCGACAACACACAACAAATCACACGCCAGGAAACGCTCAGATACATGCGAATGGGCCAACGCGGGATGAGCAGCACAAACACTCGAGAGCTGCTGCGTGAAATCCACGGCAAATGGATCAGCCTCAACGCGTGGGCAATAATTACGGCGGGTGACAGCGCAAAAGCCAACGGTTCCGCAAGGCCGGGAATTGTGGGGACGGCATCCAAACCCTCCTGGGATTCGTGTGCCAAGACACGCAAATAATCCGCCTCTCGGTGAAAATCGTCATCGTCCTCATCGTTGTTTTGCCGTCATTCGTATTGCCACACTCAAAGCCGTGAGGGAAGGTGCTGCCATGATGATTGTGGCATCACACTGAATGAAGGAACGCAATGCCTCGAAGGGTGCCGAGTGCAGGCATCCCGTCAGGCAGCGACACGCCGCACTTCTGAAGAAAGCGATGAAAGACCGTAGAAAAAGCTTTCATCCGCCATCGTAATATCGTCCAGCGGGTTCGGCCTCTTATTTCTCCTTCGGCGCCTCGCCCTCTCCAAGACACCACAGCCACTGCCATAGACCACGCTCCTGCCGCAATCACTCTCACAGAGAGGGAGGAGTGTGTGGATGTGTGCCGAGAGCACAGCGACCGTCATTGCCAGAGGAGGCCATCGTGGCACCGTCCGTCACGCGCCAGCACACAAAGAGCAGGCAACGCCATCAACCGGCAAAGCAAAAACAGAAGGCAGAGCACTGTGCAAATACTCATATGTGTGGGTGTACTGGAGAAGCAGAAGGGAAGAGAAGGAGCACAGGAAGGCACATCAACACAGCAAGAGGCACAGCTGGATGGAGGCGATACATGCGGCACGGCCCCGACCTCAACAATCACGCACGGTGGCGGCACACAAATCCACAAAGCAAAAAAACAAAATAAAAGAAAAACACGGCGGCAGGGCGTGGCTGTGTGTGTGGCGCTGCGGGTGTCTGCCAGCCCTGGCCGCAAGAAAACAAAACAAGAGGGAAGAAATGTGTGCTCCGCCCCACAGGCCCTCGTCGCACGCCCACACGTCACGGCTCCCTCAGCGCGCCGTTCGTCGCGGCCCCTCCTCATGCGTGCAGCAGGCGAGGCGCACAGGGCCGTCGTCATGAGCGTGTCGGTGGGTGTGCGAGTGGAGCAGTTGGGCGGGAAACACACGGCACCCCTCACAGGAAGAGTGCAGCAACAAACAATTAAAAAGTAGAAAAGAAAAAACGTCCATAGTGACTGCCCCAAAAGCAAAAAAAAAAGGAGATATGGGGGAATGAAAAATAAAAAAACAGACGAAAGTTAATAACGGAAAAAAAAAAGTTTTTAAGGACACACACTCGCACACACGCAAAAAAATTATGAATTACAAACAGAAAGCAAGAAAAGAAAATTATCTTAAGGAAAAAGTTAGTTCTTGGAATTAATTCCGTGCAGGGGAGGTCGCAAGTGTCCCACGCGGCTGCCAGTCACGCCTCACAGAGCCGCGAACCCCCACAGTCCCAACAGTAGAAGCAGCGATGGCAGCAGTCCGCTCTCACACATGGTGCCGGCATCGCTGTTATTCCCCTGCGACACATTTCCGAGACTGCTGCTGAGGGCCGCAGCCTTTACGTCCCCGTTCTGTGCGTGGATCCCCTCCTTCTCTCGCCCATCCGTTCCTCCTTCTCTTGTCTCCACCGTTGGCTCGCCATCAGAAAAAGAACCGCCACCCACAGTTTGAGTTCCATCGGAAGATTCTTCCGAAACCAACTGGGTTGCGGACTCCTCTCCTCCTGAGGAAGTCTTGGCACTGGACACTGTTGATGCGGATACACCGTTCACACCACTGCTCCCCAACGACTCTGTCGGTTCCTCCGGTCGTCCGCCACCAGAAGGCTGAATCGCGCCTCCTTCAATAGACGCGTCCACCAGAGATGGAGTAGGAGCTTTATTCGGGTTGAAGGCGGCGATCTCATCTTCACTCAACGGGCGGTTGTACAGCAGGACGTTCGTCACAGTCACAGACACGCCTTCTTTGTCTGCGTTTTCTCCATCCCCTCCAATGTAGAAGTGGGAGATCTCGTTCGACTCACCATTTCTCAATGCACATTCTTCATTCCCCACTCGCTGACCATCGACGTACACGGAGCCCTGGGTGCCGTTCTGTAGCACAATGGCCAACTGGTACTGTGTCTGTGTCTCCCACGTGCTGCTGAGCTCCTCAGTTTTTCCGTCACCGCACAGTACATGCCACTTCCTTTCGCTGTCGTACGACAGTCCCAGCAGCACATTATTTTCATCGCCATTCATCTTCACACCCATCAAAGGAATGGGGGTGTTTCCCTCCTTCGGCATTTTGTCGATGGACGCCGTCGCCACAAGAGTGAAGTTGTAGTTCGCAAAGTGGTACAGCTGATTCTCCCCCTGCTTGCCAACAGGCCACTCCGCCCCTGCGCCACGCCCAGTGAACTTCACACCCTTTTCTACCTGCTCCGCCCCTTCTTTCGTTACTGTGGCGTTCACGCCGAGGTACTCGTCCCTCCATATGCCATCAGAAAAATTGCCCGACAAAAAGCCAACCAGCCCAGCCGTGATCTTTACAGCGCCGCAGACATCGTCAGTTGAGGCACGATCCTTCTGAGCAATTAATGAGGTGCACAGCTGGGAGACACGGCCGTCCACCTCCTTCCACGTCGCCAGCACATCCTTCACACGCTTCAGCTGCTCTGTCAGAAGCACAGAGACCATACCGGGTGATGCTTGCTCACTGCCCTTCTTCTTCTCGTACAGTGCAATCAACTTCCCCTCCCTCTCATCAGTGTTTTCACCACTGTTGTACAACAGGGAGCTGGCGGCAGCGTCATCTTCTCCGGATACCGGCCCAATATCAACAATGTGCGTATTGTCCGTCAGCCAAAGATGGAGTTTGCCCTTTTCTTTGCCTTCCCCGGCATACACCGGCAGAGTGACGAGCATCACATTCCTCTTATCACCATCATTTCCAACAGTCGCTGTGATGAACCCGCTTCTAACGCCACTTACGCCCTTTTTGTTGCTGCCCCACACGCGCGAAAGTGTCCCGAGGGCCTCCGTCCACGACTCCCCCATGTCACCGATCTCGTACACCCTGCGAGGGCCATCACCACACGCAGTCATCATCATGAGTTTTCCCTCCTCCCACTCCACGACGGAGGGATCGCTGCAGCCACCGTCAGACATCCCCTTCGACAGCGTCCAATTCGTAGTATCCTTCGACTGTATGATCAGTGAGACAGTCTTCACACCCTCTTCAGTGCCCGCCGCCTTCTTCGTGCCTTCCACTGGGAACACAAGAGTCTCATCCTTCATCTCAACACCCGATCCACCGCTTCCAATCAGCCTTGTCCAGGAATCGGGCTGTGTGTCAAAAAGTCTTTGCGGGGAACTTTCAGTAACTTTCCAGTCAATTTTCTTGTTACTTGTACCCCCACCACTGACGCTCCCTTTCACCAGCAAAAGTTCACAGCCACCTGCACCACTGTTCTGACAATCTTTACTGCCGTACTGTCCAACAAGCATGTAAATATCACTTCCCTTCACAGCAGTTGTTGGTCGGCTCACATCCACTTTCTTCTTTTGACCTTCGGAAGTACCTTCCTCCAGTACTTGTGTCCCATCTTCGGGTTTTTCCAGAACTTCCACCGGTGTCTTAGCAGTTTTTTTCGTGAGAAGTTGGGATGCAACGCCAGTAAAACTGACATCACCATCCTTCTTCTTTTTGCACTGCGCCTCGGCAACGGCAAACACGTCATTCCCCACTTTTAGAAGGCTGGGAACACCCAACGAGTCCACAGTTTCACTCTCATTGATGCCCCTCCATTTAAACGTTGATACAGATGACTCCCCCGCAACTCCCGCAGCACCACTGCCGCAGCACACCATCACGACGAGAAGGAGCACCGCAGAGTAGAAGAGATGCCGGGACATGTTGGGCCTCTGCGGCTCACTCTCTCCTCCTTCCCTCCTCCTCCCGCTGGATCCGGTCACGCGGCGACGGTTGTGTGTGCGGGGTGCCTCCACAGCAGCAACACGTGAGAGCATACAAATATGTGTGTGGGCGGTGTGTGCTGTTGGTCCTTTCAGTGCCTTACAATCTCACAGTGGCGATTAGCGCTTGTTGTTAACTTCTTTCCTTTGTGTGTGGGTAAGAGAGAAGTTAAGAAAAAGGAGTGAAACAGTGAACACCGCCAGCGTCCACAGTGAGTGGCATCATCATCATCATCCCTGCCGCATTCACCCTCAACAACAACTCACGCACGCAGACACATGAAACGGGAAGGATGAACAATGCAGCGGGAACACGCAGCGACGGTAATCACCAGCAGCAGCAGCAGGAGCCACGCCCGGCACGTCGTTATTCGTCACGCGTCAGCACACACTGAGCAACGCCCTCACTAAAAGAAAAACCAGCAGGATAAAAAAACACAGCCGCCCTTCACGGCACACACGCGCTGCCGCCAGTAGTTTTACTCTTGTCTCTTCCAACGCACCCGCACATCGCCCCGCACAGCCGGTGAATCCTCCGTCGGCGTACGAACAGCGGGAGGAACACGTCAGACCGTGCAGCTGCTGGGCTGAAGCCCATCCGCAATAATCCCAGACACCAAAACGCCACGCCGCCCATGGGCAGCAAGCCCAGGAAATCACGCTCGCAGCACGGCAACATAACAATTCGCGGTCATCCGTCATCCCTCCTCGCAAGGGCAGCCGCAGCAAGAATCGTGTACGTGCGTGCGTCCTCAGCGTTCACGCCGCCCCACAGCGTGCACAAAATGGCGTGTGCATCTGCTAGTGCGCTTGTCAGCGTGTATACTTGCAGAGCAGCTGTGCGGCACAAGAGAGTCCCAACAAAGCAAAGATAGGGAGAAGCGGATAGCACACACGCAGATTACTCTTACCATCACACACACGCACGCAGCCGCGGAATGGGTGCACTCAACAACAACACAATGAAAAACAAAACAAAACGCAGCGTGGGACGACCAGCGCACACACACTCTCATTGCTCCCGTAAAGCAAAACACACACACACAGGGAGAGAGAGAGGTCGCCCACTCAATGCAATGGAAACAAAACAGAAACAGTTACGGTGCTCCGCCCATGCAGCCAGGCAGGACGGCAACGGTGCGTGTCGTGCAGAAGAGAGCACCAACGGGCCTGCATGGGTGTGCATGCATATATACAATGGGCACATTATTGTGTGTGCTTCGTGGGGTGAGGTGAGGGCGAGAGTCCATGCAAGGGGACACACACACACAGAGAGAGAAGGACGAGTGTGTGTGCGGGCGGTGCACGGCTCTCTCTCCCTCACTCTCACGCGGCCACCACCGCAGCAGCAGCCGCACACGCAACAAGAAGAAGCAGAAGAGGGGAGGTGGTGTGCGACACCGCGGTGCTGCCGTCACTGTCGGCTGGTATCTATGTATTGATTGTTTTATTGGTGGCCGTCTCTGGTACTGTTGTGTATCTCTCATCATTATCTGCCTCAGTGTTCCTGCTTCCTCAGGCGGCTTCAAATTCAGCGGTCCTACCGTTGTGTGCCACGTCATCATTGGCGTCGTCGTTATTGGCCCGTTCAAGGTCACTCGCATCACCAGAGGTTTGAGTGCTTCTTGTGCCAGCGGTAGTCCTTTCAGCAGTAGGAGCTGCACGGCTGCTGTCGTTGTCGTCATCATACGTCGTGGCAATTATACCCGCGTTGGGTATTTCCTCTGATTGCAATTCGGTGTTGCTGGCTGGCGGAGCAGCGGGGCCAGTATCTCCCTCGGAATCATGTTGTGTCACTGAGGCGGCAGGAGGTGTGGGATTGTTAGCACCACTGTTCTCCACCGTGCTTCCGGCAACGCCACTGCTGTCTGTGGAGGTAGATAATGGTGTTGTACTCTCTCGACTCAAATGCGATACGCTCTCCGGTGACTGCAAGGAGGATGCTCCTTCCTCGTGCTTTGTTGAGCCTTTCGTTTGTGGCATCTTCGTTTCGTGTGAGTGACCTCCGTCTTGTGGCTTTGGATGTTTTTCCGCTGTAATTGCTGGATGTGTTTCTTCTGACCGTAATGTGTTTGTTCCTGGTGGTGGTTGTCGTGGCAGTTGTGGTAGTGATTCTGCTGGAGGTGGTGGTGGTGGCGGTTGGGGACTTTTCGTGCCTTCCTCATCTTCCGGTTGGCCGCCTGCTGGCACTTGACTCCCAGTTTGTTTGGGACGATCGGCATCTGAACTGACATTCTGTTCGCCTGTTATTTGTGAATCCTCGTTTCCTGCCAACTTATTCGTCACTTCCAGTGAACCTGTATGTTCCTGTCCTTCTTCTCCAACTTGTCCCGCCTGTGGCATCTGGTCTGAAGAAGATAATCCCTTCAATGTGCCATCGCTGCCCTCGCCAATTTTGTCATCAGAATCAACAGCAGCGACAACAGCGGAGTGTTGACGCCTCCAACGGCTACGGCCATCCACAACGGCACGCACACCGTCCATCCCCCGACGCACGCATTCCCCCACGGCAGAAATATTCGCACCGCCTCCTGTCCTCCTGCCGAACGCCTCCGCGCACTCCTTCCGCAGCTGAGCGCGCCGTCCCGCAAAACAAAATACTCATCCGCACTGCCGTCGGCACCACCAGCAACATCGGCCGCCACCACACTAACACCGCACCACAGCACGCAGAGGGCACACACCAGCAGCACACGGCCAGTCATCATCGCCATCACTCCTGTCACTTGCCTGCAGCCTTCAGCACAAACCAACTCCCCGTCAACGCAGCGTGAAAGCAAAGAAGAGACAAGTCACACAATAACGCGCAAAGTAAACAACGGCAGCAGCCCTGCGGCAGCACGCACACCGACCTACAAATCAGAAGCAAAAAGGCAATACCAAAACAATAAAAAAAGGAGTTAAGTGTCCAACAGGAGTCCCTCCGCCCAGAAAAAAATACACCTCAGCAACATTTTCATTTCATACGCCATGCGGCACAGCATGTCTGTGTTCATACATACATGCGTACAATGCCCTCACAAGAAAAAAAATCGTACTGTTCCACCAGCCCACACAACAACCCTCACATTTCATGCGGCATCCGGCCTGTCTCTCCACTCCTCCTTTCGTGCAGTCCGTGAAACGCACAGCCGCAGGGCCGGCACCGAGTGCAGGCAACAGAAGCAAGCAGGAGGGAAACACTTCTCTCATGACGGTGTGCAGCAGCCGACCATTAAGTAAAGAAAGAAAAGAGCGCGTATTATTCCAGTTAGGCAAAATCAAAAAGAGTAAAAACAAAACTTGCGGGGAACGCAGCTCATATTCTCCGTGAGAGGTCGAAAATCGACACTCCGTGGCTGAGAAGACTGCCACAACCCCACACAGTCCCAAAAGCGGAGGCAGCAGTGTTTCTCCACCCACAAGAGGCGATAATTTCGCTGCCGTCCACCGTCGGCAAGGACAAGTCAGCTTCAAAAGGGACACCTCTGCTCTCGCTGACTTTCTCGTTGTCTAAAGGAGATGTGCTCTGTGTGGCGCTGCTGCACGCACTGCTTTTTGTCGGCTCCCTGGCGGCGGGGGCGGGTGCTCGAGGACCATGGATGCTGTCCCATCGCTGCACACATCGGTGGTGTTGGGCGTCGTGAGGTCAGGACTCATATATTCCTCCATTCCTACGGAATTATTCGTGCCGCCGTAATCCGAGCAGCTCCTCGCCGCAAAATCGTAGAATATCGCATTGAAAGCCTCCTCTTCCGTTACATATTGACCATCCGGCTTCTTACCAGTACGACACGCAGTCCAGTTGCTCTCGCCGAATAGACGCCAGTGCACACCGGAATCCTCGCTCCCACACGCACCATACAACCATCGCCATCTTTCTTCGCGTACACGTGCGAGCAGCAGCAGCAGTAGAGTTGCTGAGTTCGGTGAGCAGATCTGCACACCAAGTGGAGAATAGAAGGGCAAAGAGAAATAAAAAGAGGTGCAGCAAAAAGAGACACACACATCGTCACAGCGTCGCCGTTGCGTGCGCGGTAATGATGCGACCTCCCGCGGCAGGCACAACTCGCACACTGCACGCACCGCAAAACGGCATCCACACAAGAAACACGCACACACAACGACAGAACAGCCACCATAAAATAGAAGGAGGAGAGAACCACAACCATCTCCCCACACTTGCGCAACAAACGGCTCTCCCTTTCTATGCGAGACAGTTGCCGCAAGCCTGCCATCGTTCCGCTGCACGCTCTCAGCGCCCACAGTGGGAGTCAGCACAGCGCACAAGTGAGAAACAAAACGCATCTCACCCCCGTCGGGAGAAATAAAAACACCGCAACGGCAACAACAACGGTGCAAGAGTGTCGCATCGGATGGTACGATGGCGTTGTTGGCGTCCAGACCAATGACGCGTGCCCTCTAAAATACGCGTGGAAGATACCGCACGTACGACTGCAGGGTCGCGTCCGCAGATAAACGGCATTCGGAGCCAAGTCTGCCACTCAGTGGCAAAGATGGGTCAGGAATGTCGTCGGAGAGGCACCACGGCAGACGGCAGGGTAGAGCAAGGCACCGCACAGGGGACAGAAATATTTGCCTGCCTCGTCCCTGGAGAAGCACAACCAAGTTGGCCGGGGTTATCTCGCCCTCTGGCGATGGCACATTTTTAAAGAGTCTCGCGGTATTGGGGAGACTCGGCAATGCCCCAACGTGCTTGCTGCGATTCCACGAAAATGTGGACGGTCTGCATTTGTCCATGCACGTCACAGCCGATAGGCGCATCATCGGGGATACGGTTTGAGTGCGCACAACGACGGTTACTTGCCTCATGCCACATCACGGGCAGGCCGTCCCTCATCATTCCCTGCAGGATTCGCCTACGCTCCTCCAAGGAGTACTGGGGGCATCCGTTGTGCTGCACGCGGATCGCATCATCTTCCATAACAACTCCATTCACTAAAAGACCGCGGCTAAACAGCCCGTCCATAACAATCCTCAAAGGACCGCCACCCACCGCGTGCTGAGGTGGAAAATGCACGTGACGAATACGTCTCCGGTAGGTTTCATCGCAAATACACAACCGCTATTCCCTCCGTCACTGTGTTGTCATCACCGCAGCAGCAACGCACCAGTGCAGGCCATGTTGGGTATGATGGGAGAGAAAGTCCCTTTCTCCAAGCCATGAATCCATCAAGAGAGTCAGACGGCTGCTCTGCCACGGTGATAGCATGCCCCATCGGGCGCAACATGATATCAGCGTCCAGCAGATTGGAAGGCGCGGTTGTCACCCCGCCAATAAGAAATGCGCGCCACCACACGAGGCTCCACTGGCATTCCCGCCTCCATATTGTGTTCCCTCAGTAACGGACTCTGCGTCAGCACCGTCGCCACACTGGTAGGTCCGGATGTGTCTACTGCACGGCACGCGTTGCTGCCACCGCCCGCTCCTCCCCTGTTTGCTCACCACCCATCGTCATGCGGCAGCAGCGAGTGAGGCAAACCTTGATTGGTTCCGCCTGCAATTCCCTCGGCATCTGCTCGATCCACCGCCATGGAAAAACGGCGATGCGCAGCGGCGGAGCATTTGATCGTTTCAGCAAACAAAGTGGAGAAAAAGGACTCAACCACACACACAAGACTCCCAGCAGGAAATGGTACGCACGGCGTGGATAACACAACTCAAAGTAACGCTTCCAACACAAAGCGTGGATGGCTCTGTCGACGCCACACCCGCACCGCATGCCATCAACTACTCCACGGCAAAAACAAACTGGCAAGAGGGAAAAGAAATAAACGCTTCGAGAGAGCAAAAAACACCACTGCAGCACCGCATCGCTCACAACGTCGTCAATCGGCCTGAGGCCTGTCGTCTCGAATCCACCTGGCGTACACCGTTCTCCCGGCACGTTTGTTGAAAGGCGGTCATCCACCAGCCGCGATCCGTCGGTCACACGAGGAGTGCAGGCAACAGGCATGTCTGTCGCACCCTCCATCACCCTCAGAAAGCGTCGAATTGTCGTTGGCAGGAGTAGTGTTGTTTCTGCTCCACGCGTCTCCATCCCCTGGGAGAAGAGACACGCCGACTGCTGCCACCAGTTCCTCCCCCGTCGCCTCTCTCCTCCTCCACAAGTCTATAATATTCCGCAGAGTTGCTCATGGCAGTGTCTCCACCATCCCGCACGTGAAACAAATTAAACTTCTTCTCCCTGAGACCCAAAGCGACCAAAGCAAAAGCGAGCCGAGCATCCAACAGCTGCACTGGCCCAACCCCAAAAAGCTGCACCAAGTACACAATGACGGGATCACGACGGCGACACCGCAGAAAAATAGGGTCCACTGCGGAGATTAGTTTGTGCTGCACACGGTTGCGGTGTCGCCGGACTTATCGCATCGCCAAAAACAAAAACAATAATCCTGCAGCGTGCGGGGAGGACGTTTCACAAGCGCATCATCGACGGAGCCAAACAACTGTACCGTCAGCAGAGGGCAGCGGGTGGCGGGGGAAGCGAAGGTGGTGGAACTGTTGGGGAGGGTCGATGCGCAGTGTCCCCCACAAATACGAGGCGGATGAGGCGAAACACACTCGCCTGAACGTCACCGGCCACCAAAGTGCATGGCTCCCTGCCGGGAATATTGATGAGCTCGAGCCTGGAGCAGCTACTCGCAGTGCGTGAAAGCATCTTCCTGCACTGACGCTGCGATTCACATTAGACGGGCAACTTCAGCACAGTCGATCCCCAGCAGTAAAATGCAGCTGGCAGTGACGCTGCGGATTATCGATTTTCCCCGGGCAACGGAGGGCGGAGAAGAAAACTGGTCTCCCCAGCTGCGCGGCATCCATCCATCCACTCTGTGCGCTCGGAGTGCCCCGCAGCTGCCATGAGAGATGCAGCGGACAGGCCTCCGTTAGTTTCGCCTCGATCCGTCGACGAAGAATTTCGCGGCGCTGTCGGCACACACCGAATTCTCCCTCGTGCCCGCCAAACAAAAGACACACCCGTTGAGCATCGTCACGTGCGTCAACGGCCACGCAAGTAAATATCCACCGCAACGCAAAGTGCTTCTTATTGGGCACCAAAAGAAACCTGGAGGCGGCGGCCTCGACAACACACAACAAATCACACGCCAGGCAACGCTCAGATACATGCGAATGGGCCAACGCGGGATGAGCAGCACAAACACTCGAGAGCTGCTGCGTGAACTCCACGGCAAATGGATCAGCCTCAACGCATGGGCAATAATTACGGCGGGTGACAGCGCAAAAGCCAACAGTTCCGCAAGGCCGGGAATTGTGGGGACGGCATTCAAACCTCCTGGGATTCGTGTGCCAAGACACGCAAATAATCCGCCTCTCGGTGCAAATAGTCATCGTCCTCATCGTTGTTTTGCCGCCATTCGTATTGCCACACTCAAAGCCGTGAGGGAAGGTGCTGCCATGATGATTGCGACATCACCCTGAATGAAGGAACGCAATGCCTCGAAGGGTGCCGAGTGCAGGCATCCCGTCAGGCAGCGACACGCCGCACTTCTGAAGGAAGCCGATGAAAGACCGTAGAAAAAGCTTTCATCCGCCATCGTAATATCGTCCAGCGGGTTCGGCCTCTTATTCCTCCTTCGGCGCCTCGCCCTCTCCAAGACACCACAGCCGCTGCCATAGACCACGCTCCTGTTGCAATCACTCTCACAGAGAGGGAGGAGTGTGTGGATGTGTGCCGAGAGCACAGCGACTGCCATTGCCAGAGGAGGCCATCGTGGCACCGTCCGTCACGCGCCAGCAGACAAAGAGCAGGCAACGCCATCAACCGGCAAAGCAAAAACAGAAGGCAGAGCACTGTGCAAATACCTATTTGTCCTTGTGCTGGAGGAGCAGAAGAAAAGGGAAAAGGAGCACAGGAAGGCACATCAACACAGCAAGAGGCACAGCTGGATGGAGGCGATACATGCGGCACGGCCCCGACCTCAACAATCACGCACGGTGGCGGCACACAAATCCACAAAGCAAAACAAAAAAAAGAAAAACACGGCGGCAGGGTTTGGCTGTGTGTGTGGCGCTGCGGGTGTCTGCCCGCCCTGGTCGCAAATAAAACAAAACAAGAGGGAAGAAATGTGTGCTCCGCCCCACAGGCCCTCGTCGCACGCCCACACGTCACGGCTCCCTCAGCGCGCCGTTCGTCGCGGCCCCTCCTCATGCGTGCAGCAGGCGAGGCGCACAGGGCCGTCGTCATGAGCGTGTCGGTGGGTGTGCGAGTGGAGCAGTTGGGCGGGAACACACGGCACCCCTCACAGGAAGAGTGCAGCAACAAACAATTAAAAAGTAGAAAAGAAAAAACGTCCATCGTGATTGCCCCAAAAGCAAAAAAAAAAAGAAGATATGGGGAATGAAAAATAAAAGAAACAGACGAAAATTAATAACGGAAAAAGTTTAAGGACACACACTCGCACACACGCGCAACACGCAAAAAAATTATGAATTACAAACAGAAAGCAAGAAAAAAAAATTATCTTAAGGAAAAAGTTAGTTCTTGGAATTAATTCCGTGCAGGGGAGGCCGCAAGTGCTCCACGCGGCAGCCAGTCACGCCTCACAGAGCCGCAAACCCCCACAGTCCCAACAGCAGAAGCAGCGATGGTAGCAGTCCGCTCCCACGTTTGGTGCCGGCATCGCTGTTATTCCCCTGCGACACATTCCCGAGACTGTTGCTGAGGGCCGCAGCCTTTACGTCCCCGTTCTGTGCGTGGATCTCCTCCTCTCGCCCATTCGTTCCTCCTTCTCTTGTCTCCACCGTTGGCTCGCCATCAGAAAAAAAACCGCCATCCACATTTTTATGTCCATCGGAAGATTTTTCTGACACCAACTGGGTTGCGGACCCCTCTCCTCCTGAGGAAGTCTTGGCACTGGACACTGTTGGTGCGGATACACCGTTCACACCACTGCTCCCCAACGACTGTCTCTGTTCCTCCGGTCGTCCGCCACCAGAAAACTGAATCGCGCCTCCTTCAACAGACCCGTCCACCAGAGATGGAGTAGGAGCTTTATTCGGGTTGAAGGCGGCCATCTCCGCTTCATCCAACGGGCGGTTGTACAGCAGGACGTTCGTCACAGTCACAGACACGCCTTCTTTGTCTGCGTTTTCTCCATCCCCTCCAATGTAGAAGTGGGAGATCTCTTTCGACTCATCATTGCCCAATGCACATTCTCCATTCCCACCCACTCGCTGACCATCGACATACACGGAGCCCTGGGTGCCGTTCTTCAACAAAATGACTACGTGTTGAGGTGTCCCCGTCTCCCACGTGCTGCTGAGCTTCGTCGTCGTTTTGTCACCGCACAGCACATGCCACTTCTTTCCGCTGTCGTACGACAGTCCCAGCAGTACAGAATTCCCTGCATTCTTCATCTTCACACCCATCAAAGGAACAGGGGTATCTCCCTCCTGCGGCATTTTGTGGATGGACACCGTCGCCACAAGAGTGAAGTTGTAGTTCGCAAAGTGGTACAGCTGATTCTCCCCCTGCTTGCCAACAGGCCACTCCGCCCCTGCACCACGCCCAGTGAACTTCACGCCATTTTTCGTGCTGGTCACTGCTGACGCTGCTTCCCCAGCTTTATTATTTACTGTGGCGTTCACGCCGAGGTACTCGTCCCTCCATGTGTTCCCAGAGAGGTTGCCGGACAAAAAGCCAACCAGCCCAGCCGTGATCTTAACAGCGCCGCAGAAATCGTCAGTTGAGGCACGCTCCTTCTCAGAACTTAATGAGGTGCACAGCTGGGAGACACGGCCGTCCACCTCCTTCCAGGTCGTCAGCACATCCTTCACACGCTTCAGCTGCTCAGTCAAAAGCACAGAGACCATACCGGGTGGTGGTTTCACATCCTTCTTCTTCTCGTACAGTGCAATCAACTCCTCATCATTATCATCAGTTTTACCACTGTTGTACAACAGGGAGCTGGCGGCAGCGTCATCATCTTCACCGGATACCGGCCCAATATCAACAATGTGCGTATTGTCCGTCAGCCAAAGATGGAGTTTGCCCTTTTCTTTGTCCTTCTCGGCATACACCGGCAGAGTAACGAGCATCACTTTTTTATCATCAACACCGTCAATCGTCGCTGTGATGAACCCGCTTCTAACGGCCGTCGCTTGTCCGTCCTTTTTGTTGTTGCCCCACACGCGCGAGAGTGTCCCGAGTGCCTCCGTCCACGAATCCCCCTTGTCACCGGACTCGTACACCCTGCGGCGGCCACCAGCGCACGCAGTCATCATCATGAGTTTTCCCTTCTCCCACTCCACGACGGAGGGATCGCTGCAGCCACCGTCAGACATCCCCTTCGACAGCGTCCAATTCGTAGTATCCTTCGAGTGTATGATCAGTGAGACAGTCTTCACATCCACTACAGTGCCCTCCGCCGCCTTCTTCGTGCCTTCCACAGGGAATACAAGAGTCTCATCCTTCATCTCAACACCCGATCCACCGCTTCCAACCAGCCTTGTCCAGGAATCGGGCTGTTTGTCAAAAATTCTTTGCGGGGAATTTTCAGGATCTTCCCAGTCAATTTTTTTATTATTTGCACCCTCACCACCACTGACGCTCCCTTTCACCAGCAAAAGTTCACAGCCGCCTGCACCACTGTTCGGAGATTCTTTACTGCCGCACTGTCCAACAAGCATGTAAATATCACTTCCCTTCAAAACTGTTGTTGGTCGGCTCACATCCACTTTCGTCTTTGCGTCATCGGAAGCACCTTCCTCCAGTACTTTTGTCCAATCTTTGGGTTTCTCCAGAACTTCCACCGGTGTCTTAGCAGCTTCTGTCGTGAGAGGTTGAGATGCAACGCCAGTAAAATCGACACCACCGTTCTTTTTGCACTGCGCCTCGGCAACGGCAAATACGTCACTCCCCACTTTTAGAAGGCTGGGAGCACCCAACGAGTCCACAGTTTCACCTCCACCCTCATTGATGCCCCTCCATTTAAACGTTGATACAGCTGGCTCCTCCGCAACTCCCGCAGCACCACTGCCGCAGCACACCATCACGACGAGGAGGAGCACCGCAGAGTAGAAGAGATGCCGGGACATGTTGGGCCTCTGCGGCTCACTCTCTCCTCCTTCCCTCCTCCTCCCGCTAGATTCGGTCACGCGGCGACGGTTGTGTGTGCGGGGTGCCTTCACTGCAGCAACACGTGAGAGCATACAAATATGTGTGTGTGGGCGGTGTGTGTGCTGTTGGTCCTTTCAGTGCCTTACAATTTCACAGTGGCGTTTAGCGCTTGTTGTTAACTTCTTTCCTTTGTGTGTGGGTAAGAGAGAAGTTAAGAAAAAGGAGTGAAACAGTGAACACCGCCTGCGTCCACAGTGAGTGGCATCATCATCGTCATCCCTGCCGCAGTCACCCTCAACAACAACTCACGCACGCAGACACATGAAACGGGAAGGATGAACAGTGCAGCGGGAACACATGGCGACGGTCATCACCAGCAGCAGCAGGAGCCACGCCCGGCACGTCGTTATTCGTCACGCGTCAGCACACACTGAACAACGCCCTCACAAAAAGAAAAACCAGCAGGATAAAAAAACACAGCCGCCCTTCACGGCACACACGCGCTGCCGCCAGTCGTTTTACTCTTGTCTCTTCCAACGCACCCGCACATCGCCCCGCACAGCCGGTGAATCCTCCGTCGGCGTACGAACAGCGGGAGGAACACGTCAAACCGTGCAGCTGCTGGGCTGAAGCCCATCCGCAATAATCCCAGACACCAAAACGCCACGCCGCCCATGGGCAGCAAGCCTAGGAAATCACGCTCGCAGCACGGCAACATAACAATTCGCGGTCATCCGTCATCCCTCCTCGCAAGGGCAGCCGCAGCAAGAATCGTGTACGTGCGTGCGTCCTCAGCGTTCACGCCGCCCCACAGCGTGCGCAACATGGCGTGTGCATCTGCTAGTGCGCTTGTCAGCGTGTACACTTGCAGAGCAGCTGTGCGGCACAAGAGAGTCCCAAAAAAGCAAAGATAGGGAGAGGCGGATAGCACACACGCAGATTACTCTTACCATCACACACACGCACGCAGCCGCGGAATGGGTGCACTCAACCACAAAATCAAAATGAAAAACAAAACAAAACGCAGCGTGGGACGACCAGCGCACACACACTCTCATTGCTCCCGTAAAGCAAAACACACACACACAGGGAGAGAGAGAGGTCGCCCACTCAATGCAATGGAAACAAAACAGAAACAGTTACGGTGCTCCGCCCATGCAGCCAGGCAGGACGGCAGCGGTGCGTGTCGTGCAGAAGAGAGCACCAACGGGCCTGCATGGGTGTGCATGCATATATACAATGGGCACATTATTGTGTGTGCCTCGTGGGGTGAGGTGAGGGCGAGAGTCCATGCAAGGGGACACACACACAGAGAGAGAAGGACGAGTGTGTGTGCGGGCGGTGCATGGCTCTCTCACACTCACTCTCACGCGGCCACCACCGCAGCAGCAGCCGCACACGCAACAACAAGGAGAAGAAAAAGAGGGGAGGTGGTGTGCGACACCGCGGTGCTGCCGTCACTGTCACCAGTCTCGTTTGTCTCACGTTTTCGGGTGGTGACTGTTTCTACTGTTTGAGGTGCTGCCTCACTGACTGTAGGAGCGACGTTGGTGTTGCCAGCTTCGGCGTCGTCCTGCACTCTGTTGGGTGTGGGCTGCCGAGCATCATCCTCATCCTCCTTATTCTGGACATCGCCATTTCCATTTGCAGAGATGGATGTTGCTGTTCTTTCCGCTAAACCACCGGCAGATGCTTTTTTCGTCGTATTCAATTGCGTTGTGACTTTATCTTTTTGCTTCTGCATACCATCCTTTGAAGGACGGTCCGGTGATTCGGACCCCGTTTTGTTGGGTGACGATGCCTTGTTCTGCAGTTCTCTTTTTGAGGCCTCTGAGGCTCTTGGTGCTGTTGGTAGGCTTCCTTCTCCGTCCGGATTTGCCTGTACAGGAGTTACTGGTGGCACTTCTGGGGATAGTTCTGCTGATGGAACTGGCAGTAGTACTGCCGGTGTTTGTGGCAATAATAGCGTTTTTTCTACTGTTTGGTCGCCGGTGTTAGCAAACGAACTGGAAGGATCGTCCGTCTCCACGTCACTTTGCTTTGCCTTGTTTCCGGCTGCACCCCCACTTGCATCTGAGAATTTTGATTTCTCTTGTGTATTCGGGGGCAGTGATCCTGCCTTGGATTCTGGTCCCTTTAGTGCATTCACGTTGGGCAATGGTAACCCTGCAGGCATTGTCTTTGACCGCTCAACGTTTTCTGAAGATTGCGTGTCCTGCGAAGATGGTGCATCGAGGGCGGGAGATAAAAAAGTACCATCCGCAGAAAGGGAAGAATCCGAGAAATCACCTCGAGGACTGCCAATGTCGACTCCGCCTTTTCCCGCTCCACCAGAGAAAGAGCCAGTTTCACCACCGTAACCTAAACTCCCAAAAGCAGATTGACTGCCACCATTAAGAGCAAGAGTCTCCAAATTCGAGCCTCCACCTTCAATGGAACTTCCACTTCCGTTGGAACCTCCTCCAGAGCTGTCGGCACCAGGACCGCCACCGGGTTGAGTTCCATCCGATGCTGCTGGTGGTGGTGGTGGTTGTAGTGGTGCTGGAGAAAGAGGTGAAGGTGGTGGCAGTACTTCTTCTTCTTGGGTTTGACCATCAGGTGCCCCTTCTTGTGCTTTATCTCTTTCTTCCTTTTCTTTATCCGTACCATCGTCTTCATTATCAACCACGCCAAAGACTTTATCATCTGTTTGGTGCTTTGGCGAAGGGACTTCTAAATCTTTAACCAACGGTTGCCTCACGAGATCGGAATCTTGATTAATTGGCTCCGCGTGCTGTTTTCCTGCACCAGCAACAGGAGTTACAGGCTGCAAATCCCCCGATGATTCTTTTTTCTCTTCAGTAACCCGAACATCCTCGTCACATCTACCGCCGGCACCGCACCACAGCACGCAGAGGGCACACACCAGCAGCACACGGCCAGTCACCATCGCCATCACTCCTGTCACTTGCGTGCAGCCTTCAGCGCAAACCAACTCCCCGTCAACGCAGAGCCGAAGCAAAAGAAGAGACAAGTCGCAGCAGCCACACCACACACAGTCGCCGCACAGCAACACATGATGGCAGCAGCTTGCCCACAAAAAATGAGACAGTTGGAATCTGCACGACTCCCGGAAACAATGAAGGAAAATAATTCGGCAGGACCTTTATTTCATTTGCCATGCAGCGCAATAGAAACGACCGTGGGTTTCTGTATATACATATATTGCCTGCGCAACGAAAAAGAAATTAAAGTAAAAATAAAAAGATCGTACTGTTCCACCAGCCCACACAACATCCCTCACACTTCATTGCAGCATCCGGCCTGTTCCTTCGCTCCTCCTTTCGTGCAGTCCGTGGGACGCACAGCAATGAGGCCGGCACCGCGTGCGGGCAAAAAGAAGCAAACAAGAGGGGGAAACAAATCACTCATCACGGTATTTATCAACCAAACACTGCGTAAAGAAAAACACAACAGTACTGATTATAACAGACAAACTGCATTAAAGGCAACATTGAGAAGCAAAAACATTGAAAGAATCAACAAACAGCAAAAAATTAAAAGATAAATGAAAACGGCGGCATAAAAAAGAGCGAGGAAAGCGGCACGTATTCTCCGTGAGGAGTCTCAAATCCACACTCTGCGGCTCAGAAGAATGCCACCCCCAAACACAATCCCAGAAGCAGCAACACACAAGACACACACACGCACGGTGTTGTTACCGCTCAAATCACGCAGTGTCCATTTCACGTCGTTGGGAGAGGGCGAGGCGGTCGTCGGGACTCACGCCGCTCCAGACACTACGAGGTGACTTTTTGTAATGGGGATTCATGTCCAGTGGCATTGCGTTGTGTCCATTCATTTCTCTTCGGTAATATTCCCAGCAATGTGCTCCCTGACGCTGTCAACCACTCGAACCTTCTCAGATGGTGTCGGAGTCGCTTCCCTCGTCGGAACGGGGACCCTGTCCTTGAGTGCACGCATCGCAGTGAAGTTCAGTGGGCGGTTGTGCAGAAAGACGTCCGTCACCGTCACATGAGATTCGTGCCCACCGCACGCGCCAAAGCAAAACCTCAGGACCTCAGGTGGCCTCTCGCCCGTTAACGGTACCTCTTCCTCCCCAGCAACTCATCATCAATGTGCGCAGAGGCCTTGTTGCCTTGCAGCATGAGTGCCACTTGGCATTCTTTCTTCGACACCCAAGTGCTGCTCCGTGTTGTTGTCTTGCCTTTGAACACCGTCTCCCACTTCTTCTTGTGGCTGCACGACAGTCCCATGGTATGATTGGGCCCAGTGTCCGCCAACACCGCAGTCAGTAGAGGAGTGTTCCCACTCGGAGCCTCTTCGATGGTCACCGACGCCACAAGTGTGAAGTCGTGGCTCAAGAATACATGACACACATTATCACCCCGAGCGTTCACAGGCCATATTGCCCTGAACTCAAGTCCCGTCACTTGTGACCCATCGTTGTCCTTCACTGCATTCCTTCACCGTTGCATTCAAGCAAAGGTACTCGTCGTCCCGTTTCATCACTGGCCGCACCGGACAAAACTGCCACCAGCCCCGCCGTGGGTATAGACAAGCTGGAGAAGAAAACGTCCTTTTGCGACCAAGTGCTGAGGACGGACTCGATTGTACTCAGTTCCTCCGTCAGGCGGGAAAGTGAAATGACACGGCCCTCACCGTTGTCCCTCCGTTGTAAAAGATGCAAATTGCCATCCGAGTGCAGCAGGGTGCTGGTGAGCAACTAATCCGCAGCATTTTCCATGCCAACCGGTCCAACAGAAAGCGTGCGGTTGTTGTCCGTGACCCAAAGGCAGAGCGCAGTGGACCTTTTCTTCCTCGAGGCGTGCCCTCCCTGAGTGCACAGCATGACCTCCCGTTCCTCAATGGTCGCGGTGATGAGGGCATCCACACGCAGGTTTTCCTTCTGAGAGACTCCTGATCGTGCGTTGACCCACACGCATGAGAATTTCCCGATTGCCTCCGTCCACGCTGTCCCCATTTCACGCGACTCGTACACCCTCTGGTCATCCTCGAAGTCAACACTCATGAGAAGTGATTCCTCCCACTCGGTGACGCGGGGTTGTGGCATTTCGCAGGGGAAATGTCT